CAGGTCTTCTGTCACGTCACGCTGTTGAGGGAACACGCTGGAGTCACGAGGAAACATTTAACAGTCTTTAATTACAAAACACAGGAGATAATCCACAATAGGATCTTGAGCCAACACACGTAGAGAACGCATAGGCCTGACAAACACAAACTGACCAGTGTTGCCAACTGCTTTTAATTGAAAGTAGCTAAAACTGGTAGCTAAATGTCACTAGATGACATCATAATGGCAAATTCACTGATCTATATAAAGGTGAATGTAGATCAGTGGGCAAGATGAGAACTTAGATAAGGTTTGTCCAAGAAGTTGCTATATTTGTCCCTAAACTTTTGAAAAAAGTCTCAAAAGGGGCGGGGAAGTCGCTAAATCTAGTTACAAAGTAGCTAAATTGGCAACACTGCTCAAAATCCAAATGAACCAAACAAGATCGACTCAAACTAGACGTCAATTGATGCACGCGTGTCACCTGATCCACATATGCATGGATTCCTTTTTGCATGAGCAATTTATGATATATTAATGCAGAACAAAACATTTTTATTCGCATAGTAAGATACATGTATAAAATGAATGCAGTACATGGATAATTGCATGCATCTATTAATCATTTTGAGTCTAATTTCTTCCCATACAAAAGAAACTCGTTCAGTAAAGGGCGTATTCGTTCACTACATTCAACAAATCACATGCTCCGTCACATCTCATACTCGAAGGCTATTGGCTCGAGGTTTAATCATTCTTTGACAGGATGAAACAGTTCACAGAGCTACCCGGTTCACTGATCTGCGCATGCGCTGCTAATGGCGCCGCGCTGCTATGAGTCAATGGATTACGTGAATGAGAACGATTCATTCACCTAAAAGATTTGTTCAAAAATAACGATTCGTTCACGAACGTAACATCACTAGCACTAATATTTGGGGTTGGGGATTAACGAAATACACGTAACATCATTTATACGTAGTATATATATGTAGTTAAATCAGTGTTGTTTTTAAAAGATAAAATCTGCTATTATTTGAGGATTAATGTGGTCAGCTATCCTTACCTGCCTTGTTAACATATATTAGGCTGAACTTACCATGATAAAATCCGTGTATGCTATATAAATGACATCGTGGTCTTCTGCCAAAGTTAAATATATACAGAAACAACAAATTAAAGCAATGGTTACATAATGTGATCATGTTGATTACAATGCAAGGAAAGTGTAGCAGTTTTGTATGTTTATTCAGAGTCAGCTTCATCTGAAGTCCTCTCAAGGGTTGGCGTCATCTGAAGTTTTCGTAAGAGGCTGTAAGATAGAGAAGGGGAAAAACACAGGAGAAATGGTTACGTGATGCTCCATCACATTGCAGTCCTGTGGCATCTGCTCCTTCAACACAGTGCTTCTTTAGTAGCTAAGACGTTTAAGTATAAAATACAGTAATAATGTACAGGTTTACTGTAATTACTTCTATAATATAGTAGTGATATATAATACATTTTTGGAAATTTAGACTAGCATGATTCTGAAATGAAAACTGCTCACCTACATTAAACTTTTCATTCTCACTTTGGTCCATCTGCATCCTTTGCAATATATCCAAGTCTATCCAGTGGTTAACCAGAAAAATAAAAAATGGCACGTCATGCCGACCCCTGATCTACATACAAGGTGCTGTAATGTTATAATATAATGGTATACCTTGTTACAAGGTCCAAAAATGGTTGTACCTTAGTATTTTAGTGAATAATCAAAGAAAAGAGACGGTAGACAAAATTATTTTATTCCAAACTTTATTTCCAACTGTTAGTCTGGCTACTGATTGACTTTTTAGATGAAACTCCACCACTTCTGTGCCCAAGTCTTATTACTCAGGCCAGATCTACATTGGGCTGTTTAATTGAACAGACCGCAGGCCAAGAGG